GGTGATGGCACACAGGTGACTCGGTGATGGGAAACCCTCGGGGACTACAATTGAGATGGGAAAAAAATGTACAAAATGATGTAAAAATAAACTATTATAAAAAAAAAAAGTGGGGGATTGTGGAGAAGTTTTTAAACCTGACTTGTGACGTGGACAGAAGTGTGATGTTTTTGAACACAATGGTCTGTGCCTTTAAAAGCCTTACTATTTCTGAGAGTCTGACCAAAGTTGTTTTTAATAAGACAACAGTTCAGCACAGACAGCACAGCAGCCCAGACTTCCTCTCCCTCCTGCTATCTGGTCTATTGATCAGGGTCCTGGGAGTCCATTTTTAATAAGAGACATATGGGGCTCACTCGCTTCAGTAGTTTATTTATTGAATTGCTGGCATTTCAGAGGTCGCAGTCTGCTATTCAGAAATTAACCCTCTGAAGTAAAACTTTGAAACACAGACAAGAGTCCATTCCCTCGTCACCCCTGAATTTGCTTGTTCCTTTCATGCCCTTTCTCAACTGTCTGGCATCTTGCTCTCTGGGAAGTAATTGTATCTTATCAAATCAGGGCTCTCTGGTTCACATTTTTCTTTGAGGATTGAGGTCAAGTGGAGGGGAAGGGACGGCAGGGTTTGGGGGGAAGCCTGTGTGTTTTGGGGGGGCAGGGACCTGAAACCAGATCACCCCATGTAGCCCAGCTGGGAGCAGTGTCGGGGCCACTGAGAAACTTCTGGTCCTGTATTTGAGCTCTTCTGTATTTTACTCTCCTGGTTCCTCTAGGAATGGGGGTGGGGGAGGGGGGGAAACACAAGGAGCAGGGAGGGCTCAGTCCAAGGGGCTTAACCACTATATTCCTTCTCCTACATCGTCCTGAGTTCAAAGAGATGTCAGAAGCCCGTTCTCAAAGCCCAGAGCAGGCACTTGCAGGCAGCAGTTCACCTTCCGAGTTTTGCTGCCATGAACTTAGAATGCTGATCTCAGGGTCTCTGAATCTTTAGGCGCTGGCTTGTGGGCCTCACGTGGAGAATCCCAGCAGGAAGTACGTGTGCTCCAGGACAGAATTACCACGTTATTTTTTTTTAAAAGATTTATTCATTTATTCATACAGACTGGGGTACAGGCCAGAGATGTGGAGGGTTGAGAGGCTTCACCAGAGACAGAGTGGGGAGTAAAACAGGCCGACTGACGAAGTACACTGCTGAGGGGAGCAGCAGGCCGGTCAGGAGAGGTCTGCCACACCATGTGGTCACCTCCGGGGCAAGCGGGAATCGAACTCATGTGGAAGCGGCTTTAGATTCTCAGTGCTGTGCTTTAACCCGCTGCGCCACCAGGAAGGGCCAACCACGTTATTTTAAAATGGTTCTTCTCTCCCTGGATCTAACCCCAGGGAGTTCATGCACAGGGGTGTGTGTGTCCCACACTTAATGCCTGGGCTGGGCGACAGAGGCCCCCGTGACCTTTTACCTGACCTCATTATGCCTGGTTGTACAGCAGGACTTTACAGAGTGAAAAATAACCTATTACTATTACTAAATCCACATGTGTACATCTTAGAAAACAGATTTTTTAAGAGTCGTATGTATACTCTCCTTTCAGAAATGAGTACTTTTAATTTCTTGTTATGGATCCTTCCAGAAGCTAATGTATGTATGCACTTTTATCTAATAAGCTATCTATGAATTTGCTAGCTGTAACATTTTCAAGTGAGTATTCCAATACTGAACCCTAGGACAAGTTAGGATTAATTAGGCGGCTTCAGGGCCAGTGTAGGCAGGAGCTGGGAGTCATAAAGAGGCTCCAGACATAAGGGCAGCAACTTCCAAAAGGGGTTAACCACACACCCCAGGACCAGGGACAGTGGATGTTCTGGACAAGGGCAATAAAGAAAAGTGTGCTGAGATAAGGGCCAGGACACAGAGACTGAGTTCTGGGCACAGAGACAGTAAGACAGTAAGTGACAGAGACCCTGGAGGGGCTTTAGAATAACTAGGGAAAGAAAGTCAAGATTCCCTGAGACAGGACTCCACTTGGCTCCTTGCCTCTCCCTGGCCTGGTTCCACTGGCCTGGGAGTCCCACTTTATTTCTGTTCCTTTTCTCCTCAATAAACTTTTATTTCTCTAAACAAACTCTCCTCTTCTCGCCTGCTTCTCGAAGTTTCTGCTGCAGTCTTGTGAGACACCAACCCGGGGTGGTCTAGTGGCCGGGACTCAGCACAGCCCCCTACAGCCTGGGATCCATCCCTGGCTGGGACACTCGGCCTGAAAACCTTAAATTACGATGTCAATGCTACATACCCTTTGTGCCAATAAAGGTTTATCCTTTTTTTTTTTTTTCACTGCTCCAAAATTGTGGTGTCTGTTGCAATCTGACAATGTGGGAGGTAATGTCTGGAGATTTCATTTTGACCTTTCAAAATTAATTTTATCCAAAGAAAACTACCGGATGGTTTAATTTGTAGGAGGAATATAGGGGAAGCAAATAAGGCATCAGGGAAAAATAAATAATAACAATAAGTAAAAAGAAAACAAAATTAACAGGTAATTATAAATCAGAGACATTCTGAAGGGGAGAGGGGAGAGGATCAAAACAGGGGTGGGAAGAGCACAAGGACTATGGGGACAGAGCATGGGTGACTTGGTGGGAATTCTATGGGACTACACCTGATGGAGAAAGCAACCATTGTACAAAAATGAACAATGCTGTAAAAATATATAAATAAGTTATATACAAATTAAAATAAATAAAAGTAAATTTAAATTTTATCATTATTATTTTATTTATTTATTTGTGCTACCACATTGGCTGACAAGGTTTGTATATCAGAAGTATAGGATCTCCCCCTCAGGTGTTGTTACCAGAATCACACCACCATTCAGACTCTAGTCCACCTTGCTCTCCTGATCGCTAGTTTATCCTATCATCTACCCCACTTTCTGGTTTCTCCAACTCTCCTCAAAATGCTCCCAGAATTCGGCTCTCCCTGTTGGCATAACAGGTTAAAGCATCATGAAGCTCTGTGAAGCCACTGCATCATGATTTTGATCCCCAACCCTGGAGGTGACCACATG